CAAGAATAATGGCTTGAAGCTTCTATTTCCTTATCACTATAATCTTTGAAATGTACTTGTTCATTATATCCATTCTTTTCATTTATTGATTGCTTCTAACCATTATCAACCTCTTTTTCATCTTTATATAATCCTCCATCAACATCATGATTCATTCCAGCTTTGCCCATTAATTATGTCTTTCACTTAATGCTGTCAATGATAACATCATGAAACTCTTTCTTTGTAATTCTCAAAATTTCTTTCAATGTGAATTCCACCTTAGCATTTAATATATGTTCTTCCAACATCTCTTTTAAATTTGTTGCCACTTCAATATCAGAAAGTAGCTTATAAGCAATTGATTTATCCTTTTCTTTTGTCTCCTTCATTTTTTCTTCCTATGATGCTAAAGTGTCCTTTATAGGTAATTCTTGTGAAGTCGCCTCACGAGCCTTGTCTCCTTGAGTTTGCCTCTTAGAAGAATTTCCTTCTCTTATATCATCAAAATTTTCTCGTCTCTTTTCTTCTATTAAAGCTTCATGTTGGCTCTTACCAATATATGCATGAACTGAAAGACATTCAACAGGATCTTCCCAACCTGTTGCACCTCGTATTATAGCCGCAGTCCTCAATAACGCTTCTCAAGGCATTTTTTCTTTTTGCATAGTGGAAGTGGCAGAAGCCCAAAATTCATTAGTTTCTATACTTCCACCAAAGTCATCATCTACTCTAGCACCATAACTTGCACTCTCTCATATTGCTATTCTATATTCTATTAAATAATCTTGAATCAATGCTCTCATACCTCTTTTGCCAAAATTAGTTTGAAAGAGATCCTCTATATCCTTTAATGCAATCTTTCCATCTTTCCAATAAATAACTCCTTGTTGTACCATATTATTAAATTCATTGCAATCTTTCCTAGTATGTGAAACGTCATGACACCAGATACATCTTTGTACATACCCTTGTTTTGAAACATTCTTCAAATTATTTGTAGAAGTATTTTCTTCAATTCTTATCAATTTGATTTGAAGATCTCGCATTCTACATATAATTTCTTCAATCCCCATCTCTCTTTTCTTCGATAAAGATGTTGAAGGTTGAACAGTAGACATTGTTGGTCATGTTGTATGCACTGGAATTTTAGATGCTTGTATTGTTTTTTGAATATTACTCCTATCATTCCTACTTTCTCTTTTTGCAAGAAAACCCATCATATTTTCAATATTTTTTCACTTTGTTGTCAATCCTTCATCTTCTTCTTTGTCTTCAAGAAGCAATTCCAATTTCCCTTATAACTCTCCATCAGCAGCTTGAAGAAATAATTCAACCTTGTTTGGCTCTAATGTCAATTTTTCTACCTTCAATAATTGAGAATACTGCCTTTCAAATTTCCTTAATAGCTCTGTTGCTTGTAAATTCTTGTTAGGCCACTCAATCTATTCTATAAATAGTTTTTAGTAACACGATCAATATCTTCTAAGAAATATTCATCTTTTAATGCATGTAAAAAAATCTCCCATGAATTTCCATAATGCTCCATAATTGATATAATATACTCTCTTATTTCCGATATCGTGACAAGTCCAAATAATTCAACCATCTTCTTCTCAGAAACCGCGCGTCTGGCTGTGGAAGATAAAATGATGTTTTGCAAGTATCCAAGTAGTCTAGTGGGTTTCAACTATCTAAACACAAACTATTTCGGATTTCAATATAAAAGCTTAATTCCAATATAAAGTACTTAGAACACTATTTTTAATAGCTTTTATATATTATAAGCATAGATTCTTTTATTATTTGTTATTTTTATTTCTATTTTATTTATTTAATTTTTATTTTTTTATTTTTTTATTTTTTTATTTTTTTAAATCCTAATCCTACACAACGAGCCTCGGCAAGCTGTAATTCTCAATTTGACCATCCGATTGTGTGAGACTTCTACTACTAGTATCTTTACAAGTCTTCTAAATGCTCAAGAAGTTCAATCTAATCCAACTTACAGATTACAAGAAAATACCGTAAATCCACGCTGAAGTCCCTTGACCGCCGCCTAGAAAGTTGATGACAAACTTTAACTTGCAATTTCTCCTTCTCTGACTGTTAATTCTCATTCAAACTTTATGTGCAGCTCCACCTTTAAGTCCTTGACTTATCGTGTCAAAATTCACCTTATTCCAATCGAAAGATCTCAGATATTACAAAAACTCTAAATAACTTCAATATGCCAACTTTTGATACCTCTTTATACTAATGATCAAATATCCTCTATCTGTACCATAATATTAACACAAATTTTTGCATACACTTAGTATACTCAACCATCTAGATACCTTTAAAATTTCAACTACAGATGTCTCTCCAATTTTGTAAAACAGTCAAGAATACTAGCCTTTACTTTATTGCAAAAATCCAATTCACCAATACAAACTTTGACTTTGAGCAACGATTGCAAAGTCCTCCCAAATCCTATGAAATCCAATTCTATACCTTTCAAAGGAGCTTGAAGCTAGCTCTCTAATCCCAAAATTCCGATCTCCCAATGCCCCCTTCTTTTTCCTCTCCTTTCTTTTAACTCTATGAGGTCCCCTATTCTTTCGCCCTAGATTCCGAATTGGAACAATAGACCCGCCTTCATGGAATTCTCACCTCTAAGAAGATCTTTCGATAAAAAGGATGTTTCTCCAAAATGGCATAGAGAATAGAACAGCTTGAAATAGAACTGAAGCCTCCGTATTTGGGACTTCATTGGGTTGCCCAACCGAGTCAGGTCTCATACTGGGTAAAAGGTCCATACCAGGACTTGGATTGGATGTCCCCATAATTGGATCAAATTGGCCCTTCACATCAGATTCACCCAAATATTGAATTTGTCATTTTTTCTTTTGCTGATTCTTGGTAAGAACGGCTTGGACTTATTCCACCTGATTTATTGAAGAATCTTGAAGACCTCGATTTATTTCTTCAATTTTTCCCTGGCTTTGGATTTACTGATTCCAATTATTGAAATTGAATGGAGTATTACATTGCTGATAAATATGCCTTGATTGCTTGCTATTCCCATACACTCGTGCGTAATTGTCACTGGCTTTGGGATTGGGACATTCACTAGCATAATGACCAATCTGTCTGTAACGGAAACAACAAAGTGGTTTTCTTGCACCCCCATCAGGTATATTGGATGTCTTCACCGGTATATACTTACTAGGCTTCTTCCGTGTAGGGTTAGAAAATGTTCCTAGTCATCTTGTTGGTACGAAGGATACTTGGTTTGATGATGTCGGTGGAACATACGCTGTTGTCACGTTTGGTGGTACAGCTTGCAATGGGGTGACATTTACTGGCCCCTGAATATTGGCACTGAAATTGGCCACTGTTTCTAACATCCAAGATAACTAAATATTAATAAATTTTTTCCATTTATATTTTCACTATATAATCGTGTTGCAATACGAGAATGTAGCTAGAGCATTCATAATGGCGTCCAACTTCAACTCTAAATTTTCAGTCATACTAATACCTCTAGCCATTCTAAGAAAAGAAAAGAAATGATTCTCTAAGAAGGCAGTATTGGTTTAGAAGAAGGTACTCCGCAACCTCTAAAATGCCTTAAAACCTTAAAAAAGAGGGATAATCTACTCTCTCCAAGAAAGATAAGACTCCAATATTATAATAGAAGAATATCAATTTAGAGGAAGGTAATCCACAACCTCTAAAATGCCAGCACTTTCAAGCAGAGGGATAATCTATACTATAACAAGAAAGAACTAGCTCTAATATGAAAGATGAGTGTAGTCTCGACAAACTGTCACGAATTTAGAATACCGGCTAGAAATCTAAACAAGAAGCTCAAGAAGAATCGACACGACTAGATTAATCAAATGAGTACAAGAACAACACTAGAGAGGTGAGCTAGAGCTCTAAGAGGTGTATTGTCAAGACTAAGAATCCCCTCAATCTCGGCTCCTATATATACTACAACCTAGGAAGCTTCTCAAGTAGCTTCCACAAACTAGGAAGCTTCTCAAGCACCTTCTACGAGTTATGAAGCTTCTCAAGCAGCTTCCACAAGTTAGGAAACTTCTCAAGCAGCTTCCATGAGCTTGAAAACTTCTCAAGTAGCTTCTACAAACTACAAAGCTTCTCTAGAATCTTCTAAAATCTTCTACAACTTTCTAGTGTATGTCCTTGACAGATGTATAATTATAATTTTTTAGAAAAACATAAATTATTGTACTTACAAAGACATTTGATATAATTTGAGTTTGCATAATATAACAAACCATTGCATTATGATTTGAAAGTTGAAAGACTTCAAATAAAATGTTCAATTGAATAAAATATAAATGAATAAAGAAAAATCAATTTTATAAGCATGCACCAAAGAAAGATCAATAAAGTGATTATATTATTATATAGATGTATAGGATTTTTATGATAAGTTTAAATGATATTCTTCTAAAAAAGAATTATAAAATAAAAAATAAATAAAGAAAAAGAAAAAGATAAGATAATATGAAACAAAAGAAAAATAACATCTTCTTATTATGAACCAACAAAATGGCAAAAGATTCTAAAGATGTTTGGAATTGATGTAGATGATAATGGAGCTTCAAGAATGTTGAGTTTCTTCTAAATCATGAGCTTGAAAAGTAGTTGTATCATATAAAGAGTATTTTTATGACATAACTTTTAAACTAGCTATGACATTGGATAATGAGTTGTTTGAGAAAGATATTCTATAATTGCTTTGCAATTCTATAAGATAGCACCTTCCATTCATGAGATTGTTATTGCAAGATTGTAAAAGTGAGTAACCAACATTAAAGGAGAAAGAGAACATAAGATGCGGGAATGAAGAAGGATAAAAGAGTGATAAAAGGGAGGTTTTAAAAATGAGTGACCAACATGAAAAGAAAAAGAAAAGAATGGAAGGAAGGAAGATAAAAGAGAAGAGAGGAAAAGACGAGAGGCTGCCCCCGAACCCCGGCAGTCTCTTCACTGATAGGGGTCTGGGTCGCCCCGGACCCTGTATTTCTTTCTTTTTCTGTTTTTTTTAGCTCTGACTTTGGGAAAAAAATTTCCTTCCCGTGTGTGTGGTGCGACGGTGATATAGATTGTGCTGCGGTTGTAACTGGAGTGAGGGCGCTCTTGCATGGTATGCGGAGAGTCACCCAGCACTTCCCTTCTGTCTTTTGTCGCTATTACAGAGCTTCGCACTTAGGCGGAGTGTGTGTGTCGATTCTCCAAGTGCGGCTGTGCTGTGGTGGAGATCTGTGTTGCGGTTGATTATGTTTCTTTCCTGCAAGGAAGAGGCTCATCTGCTAGTCAGTGCACAGAGGAGGCTCATCTGCGATTGTTTTGCACACTGCCCGTGGAGAGGCACCTCTTCCCACTCCTCTTTAGTTTTTATGTTGATTGGAGCTCGGGGAGAGCGGAAGCAATTGGTTATTTTACGTAGTTTTGATTTGTGTCTTTTTTTATGAGAGTGCTGCGGTGCAGTAGTACCCTCTTAATTTATTTTTTTTGTGTGTGGGGAGTGCCGGGACCGCGTGATCTTTGACAGTGTTGTTGTTGGCGGTGGATCTTAGTTTTGGAGCTGTTGCAGTGCAACCACGAATTCTTCTCTTCTTGCGGGGAGTGGTGCGGCGTCGTTGCATATATTTGACCTGCAGTTGTGCACGGGAAGACATCTCAATTTTTTTTCTTGGTTTTTGTTCTAATTCATTGAGGGTTGTTGGTTCCGTTCATGGTTTGGCTGGAGTAGCGGCAGCATCGCAAATCAACGTCACGGCTAGAGCATTGGCACTTTGTATTGGAAGGCGAGGTGCATGACTTCTAGACAACCCTTTATGCTGGATCGTGGAACTCCTTAATTAAACCTCGCTAGTAGCGATGTTTCTTCGTCTACATCAACTTTTGGTTTAGAGGGAGGTCTTGACAAAGGATCGTTTTTTCTTCGACATTGTTGGCAAAAGTGGAGAAGAAGTATGATTCACTTGGTGACACTGTGTGTCATTGACTAGTCATAGTCAAGGACTCGGTGCAAGTTGGAGTGAAGTCGTTGCAAGAATCCAAAGTGGAACTGGTCAAAAACTCAGCATGGATTGTTATGGCATTAAGCTAGATTCAACGCAGCTGCTTTGTGAGCCATGAATGTCCTTTTGGGTAGATTATAGTTCAAGTATATTTTCTTGTATTTTTAGACAGGGACTTGCTTACGAGAAAAGTGACGCAAGGACCATGATGATCTGTCTTATGTTGTGAGTATTGAATCTGAGATCTCTTCTGGGACATGCTGGAACTCGAAGTGTTGCAAAGTGAGCTTATTGGGAATACAGTGAGTGAGTGCAGCCACTCCTACGAGGAGTTTGTGTCCACTCTAGTTCTTTCAAAATAGGTTCAAGTATTGTAGGTAGAAATAGTTGGTATTGTCAGGGTCGATTAGTTGATCACAAATGATTGGCACTGCATGCAGCACTTGTTGCTCTGTTATTTGGTTCAGAGTTTCGTAGCACAAACCCATGCTGCGCATGAAAAGTGTATAATTTTTAAGTTTTAATTCTGGAGCAACAACTGTGATAGACATACAGCAGCTGATCTTCACCAACTCGGGTTGGTTCCTTTTTTACTAATCCTACACTTGTTACCATTCTTCTGTTCCTTCACTTTAGTGGGTGTTCTGGGTTGTCGGTCAAGGGTGATAGGCGGCGGCTGTTCCGAATTTGCTTCGGCTTCCTTCGATTCCTTTGCTGGTGGCTGCGGGTTTACAAAGGAGAGCAAAAGAAGTGGTTAGGCCTGTGATTGTTGTGGCTGCAAACTTTCTCCAAGTCGACATCAACCTCCAGCTGTGAGATTTTGAGTTAGATGAGCATTTAGTTTTGGATGAAATTCAAGAACCAAGACAAGTTAGGTTAGATTAGAATGAAGTTAAGTTAGGTTCTAGGGCAAACAACTTGGATGAATTTTTAAATCAAGGATCCATTTAAAGTGGATGATAAGTTATTCATGGATGATAAATTATAATTAGATGATTTTTTGTTAATAGATTAAAATTAATATAAAATAATAATAATAATAATAATAATAATAATAACAAACAAATAATTAAATTAAGAGTTAAGAGAAGGAATTTCTTTGGCATGCATTTTGTGAATAATTTACAATTGTATGTGAATTAATAGTAGAGGTTTTTTTAATTACTTGGATTTTTTTTAATAAGATTGAATAGTGATTTAATTAGAATTTAAACAAAAAGTACAACATATTAAATTTGTTTAGCTAATTCACTTGTTGAGAACTAAAACAACCTTCCAAATAGTAGAAGGTTGTTATTTCACAATTGGTGAATTAAGGAAGTGAGAAGTGAATAGATTAAGACTTTAATAAGAGCTAAAATTTCTAAAAATTAAATAGTTAATTCATTTACTGTGAACTAGACTAAATTCCCAACTAATGGAGGTTTAATTTAGCTCATACATTGGTAGGTTGAACACTTAGCCAACAACTTAGCCATATATTATATATGTTGGTAGCTTGTGATATAAGCTAACCATATGGCATACATATGAAAAACTTGCCTTGTAAGTTATACATGTGTCTTGTAAATTAGACATGTATTGGAGGTCCTATAGAACATTATTATGTAGCTCTTAATTAGATAGTATATATAAAGGTAAGAGTGAAGTTTTTTTTTTACTCTTGTCAACTTATTTTTAGGTTCTAGTCTAGTTTCAAAGGTCTTTAGTTTTCTAGTCTTTTGGCAATGACCATTCAAGATTTTTTTTAAATATACATATTTATTTACTTTTATTTTGCTATCTCTCTTTGAAAAAATTCTCACTTGATAATTTGTCTTCATTGAATTTTTATTCATATTTGAAATTCTAGTTTATTTTTGTATTGAGTCATTGTTGTGAATATGATTCTTTTAAATAAAGATTAAAGATAATATATCTAGTATATTGAAAACTTTTATATACTTAGATAAAAATGATTCTAAATTTTTGATAAGAATATAAAATAGCTTAGTTAATCTTGTATTACTTGAAATTTGGTATATTAAATATTTTATTAATTTTTTGAAGTAGCATATTATGTCTCATGGAATGATACACTTAAAGATTTTATGATTTAAAATATGTAAGTGTTTAGATTTTATTTCTTTAAGTTTGAAATCTCATTTATATTTGTATTTTTTATAAAATAAATTATTATAAAATTTAGATTGAAGATTATTCTTTAAAAAATCAACATTTTTGATGTAATTAAGATTATATGGTTTTTAATAATAACTAATAGTAGATATAGATTTGATTTCTGTATACATCTTTAATAATTTTTTAATTTTAAAATATCAATGATAAATTATATATCTTTTATTTTTAAATATAAATATAAATAATAATATTTTAAAAAAATTATAAGATTTAATATAATATTACTTTTGCTACAACTTTTGTTATTACTACCACTATTTGCCATTTACTTTATATTTTTTTAATCAATATTTTTGTTGAATTAAATGGTTGGAAAGTTATTAAATTAAACAAATTAATTGATTTGACATGTTTTGAACAAAGGTGGTATGTAAAGGATAGAAGGTTGCAGTGGTAATAAAAAAAACATTGTGATAGCAATAGCAAAAACTATAGTGGCAATAACAATATACTTAAAAATATGTCTCTTAAAATGATGTTATTACTAAATTAATTTTTTATTAAAAAATATTCTTATAATAATATTCTAAAAATATTAATTATAATAATTTTTTTAATAAATTAATTATTTATAATAAATAGTAAATTTTGAAGTACCTATCATGTACCAATATATTATGTATATACTACATTATAAAGTTTAGAAGCTACATAAACTGCACATATACTAAGAATTTTGATGGCACAAGACCAAAGTTTTAAGGATTCATAAATCAAGTATAATTGGTAATTAAACTTTAATTCTAAAGCTATAAAATTTTTAAATCATAAGATAAATTTAATAAAATATTATTTTTAGATTTTATTTTATTTTATTTTTTATCTTTTCTTGAAGAACATGATCTAATATCAAATAATTTGGAGGCTCTTTTGGCAATGTTTTGATTCATATATAGAAGAAATGATGTAATTTGTATTATAATTAATAAGATCCATATTTTGCAAGAAAGTAATTGATTAATAATATTATATATTTAATCATTTGAGAACTTGTAATTAATATCAAACAGGACAATACTATATTCATTGATCCATTTTTCTAAAAATTACAATATAATAAGAAGAAATTGATTCTAAACTTACTTAATCCTAAAACATTAAGTTAAGCAATTAACTTTGTTATGAAATGTAAAAATCAAATTTTTGAATTTCAATCTGAGAGTTCTATAAGTAGGCTTCAATATTTTTATAATTCAATGGCAATATCAATATCTTCTCAATATATACATTTGGAAGTAGAAGACATGTAAATTAATACAATATATTTCAAACTTCTTACTAAGCAAGAAAAGACTTGTCATTGTTAAGAAGGATTCTGCTTATATTATGGCAAATTTAAGCATATTATTCAACATTATATAAAGAAGCAATACAACCACAAAATAAAGAGTATGGATATTAAAAAAGACAATATGTTAAAAAAATAGTTTGTTTAGATACAATAGATATTATTCAATAGGAATCTTATATGATACCTAATAAAAGTCCTATTCTCTCATCAAAATAATCTTCTTTTTTTATAATAGATGTATGTTTAGGACCTAAACATCACAAAGCCTTTGCTTTTGTTAGATTAAGGATTCTTATCTTATATTTTAAATAATTATTTGTTGTCTTTTAGAAATGTTATATATGAAATTTTTCCTATAAAAATAGTGACTAATAGTTATAATAGCTTTTTAATATTTAATATTATTAAATCTCATATTAATCTAGTCATATTAGATTTATTATGGCTAGAAGAATATAACACTCAAATAAGATAGATTTCTTGTAGTCTTGATTATTTATAAAGTAAAATTAAGTATTTTATTAATCAAGTAGAAAGTCATATATTTAATATAATCAAATCTTTATTTATGGATATAAGAGCTTTTTTACATACTGCAAAATAAGAATCACCTTGTGTTATTTATATTACACCCATTTCAAAAGATAGAAAGACTTCAAATAGCATTCCAAACTAATATCAAGATTCAAAGATATTTTTGAGAAGAAAAATGAAGATATTCTTCTAAAGTATTATTCCTATAATTGCTTAATTGACCTTCAAGAGGAAATTCAATCTCTATTTGAACCAATGTATAGTTTTTTAAAAAATAAATTATTTAATTTTAAAAAATTCATTGATAAAAACTTTGCCAAAAATTTTATATACCATTCAAAATTTCTAACAAGAACTCATATCTTATTTGTGAAGAAAAAAGATTGATCATTCCTAATGTGTATAGATTATTGAAAACTTAACAAAATTACTATTAAAAATAATTATACACTATTTTTGATATTTAATTTTTTAATCAATTAAATCAAGCTAAGATCTATGTAAAAATAGATCTATAGTAAGCATACAATCTGATACGTATCAAAGAAAGAGATAAATAAAAGACTACATTTTGAACAAGATATGATTATTTTAAATATAATATCATATCTTCAAAACTAAAAAAAGTATCAATTTCTTTTCAACATCTAATAAATGATATCTTTTAAGAATTTTTAGTTTTTTTTTTTTTTTTTTTTTTATCTCAATAATATTATAATATATTCTAAAAACATAAAAGAATATAAAATTTATGATTATTTTATGTTATAAAAAAAATATAAGATTCTATTTTAAGATATATATATATATATATATATATATTACTTCTTAAGTTGACCTTTTATGATACATTATTTCAAATGATAGGCTTATGATGGAGCTTAAAAAAGTTTAAACTATTATGGATAAAAAGATCTCAAAAGCAGTAAAAGATATCAAATATTTTTTTGGAATTTATTAATCATTATTTAATCTTCATCAAAAAAAATTCTTATATTGCAATTCTACTTCTATATTTGAGTTGTAAAGGCAAATTTGAGTAGAATAAAGAAATTAGAGCATTATTTAAAGCTTTGAAGATAATTTTTATTTTTATATCCATCTTGTATTACACAATATTTTTTAATGAAAAAAATATATTAGACTTTGCTTAGGTTACAACATCATCACAAATGGGACTAGATGATAAATTCTATCTTATTAATTTTCATTCAAAAAAAAATCAATAATAGAAATCAACTATAAGATCTATAAAAAAGAACTTTATATAATTACAGATTCATTTTTAAAATAGCATCATTCATTAAAAGGTGCTTCTAATCCAAACATCATATATACAAATTATAAGAACCTCAAATATTCCATGTCAACACGTATTTTGAATTATTATCAAGCTAGTTGGAACTTCTTATTGTTGAGATTTGAATTTAAGATAACTTATCAATCAAAAATACTACATTATTTATCAGATGCTTTTTCGTTAAAGATGTATTTTGTACCAAAAGAAGAAAATTTATTTTTTGATTAAAAAGATAATTTTCTTTAAGTTAGAGAAATTTTATTTTTGAGCAATGAAATAAATAATAATTAG